CACTTAAACTAATTGATATACGGAATACAAATTAAACTACACTTAAGAACTACACTTAAGTTTAGTAAAGCTATAGCTTAAGTCATATATGAAATATCGGACCTAATATATTAATAAAATATGAAAAAAAAAATTATAGACTGATAGCATTAAAGTTACGGTTGTATACTACTTATATTAAATTACAAAGGATAATTAAGTAAAAGCATATTATTATAAAAATCACAGCAATTAGTTATCTCTCAAATTAAACTAGTATTGTTAATTATGACAAGCGTACGTACGCATACCCACTAAGCACTATAAATAATATGTTAAAAATGAAAATGAATGCAAGAATCTAGTCTCCAGGTATGATTCATAAAATAATTAATCATCCACGACAAAGCGACTGACTGAATATTCAAGTCATATTGTGACAGTTTAAATGTTTTTTATTATTTTTTTTTTTAATTAAAAAATTAACAAAATGTTAACAGATGCATTTATTAATAGCGGAAACGATAATAAATATCAATGCTTCTATGTTAATAAAAATTTATAATTTCTGATTTATCAAATAACATTAAGAATAATTGTAATATTTAGGTAAATTCAATAGTCCTTTCTTAAAACATAATAAAATAAATAATATTTATTACAGTACTTATAAATTACATTTATGTTATCAAAAATCCATTATTTTTTAGTTAAAATAACAGATAAATCATTTTATGAAAAAATATTTATTTTTTTTTTTTTTAATAATATAACTATATGATCTCCAACTTCATTTAATGCGACCGTAAATTATTTTTTATAATTTTTGATTTTTAGTAGGTGTTATCATTATTTATCAAATAATTAAATAATTAAAAAGTGTTAAATTAGAGTATTATTAACTAATTAGAAATTTAATAGAACAACATTTGAAAGTAATTCAAGAAAATATTTAATTTTTTAAATTGTTTTAATGTCACATTTATAACAATGAAATGTTTTTCAGAAAATAATGAATTAACTACCTTTAATTGTATGTATTTTTCAGAAGCAATTCGTTTATCGAAAGTTTCATAATTAACAGATAAAACACTTTAATTTTGAAACTATGCATAAGGAATAAATCTCGGGATAAATATTATAAATAAAATAACGAAAAATTAAATAAAAATTAAAAATTAATAAATGGTTAATACTCATAAATTAATATATAAATAAATAAACAAATAGTTTAGTTTATATATAGAAATAAATAAATAAATAAAAACTTAACCTGGAGTATTATTATATTTGTAAAGTACGACCGGTTTTAAATTAAAAATTTATATCAAAATTGCAACTGAATATGAAAAAATATTAAAAAAGAGATGGGATTTTATTTTTTCATATTCAGTTGCAATTGTATTAACTTTGTATATACCTGATGATGAATTTTTAATTCGAAATCTGTCATACTTTAGAAATATAGTCAAGGCCGTACCAAGAAATTTTTTTCGGGAAGGGTCCAAAACATGTATATTGTAATTTTATTGAATTTAGATTTTAACTTTTGACATTTGATTAAAAATAAGACAGAAAAAGATTTAATCTTCTTTTATTAAAATTAATATCATATTTTCATATGATATTATGATATAAAATTAAAAGCAGTCAATGATTAATTGGAGCTTAAGTCATTTTTGACTGAAAATATTTATTTTGTTATTAAAAATAAATAAATATTTTAAACGTTCGTAAAATATTGAAGACATTTCGGGGGGGGGGGGGGGGGAGTCCAGATACCCTGGACCCCCTAAAGTTCTAAATTAAATTAAGTACAATAAGACTATATCTGATTTTAAAAATCGTTTGAAGTATAATTTGTATTACACCGAACAAGCAACGCCAAAGAAAGTTATACACAAAAATAGGTGATATTCACATCAAATTCATTCATGTATGTAAGACATAAAAATTGAACTAATTACATTATTAAATATACATCTAATTATAATACGGTAAACTAGTTCATGAAACGTTTATAAATGTATGCTTGGAATACAATTTAACGGCAAAAAATTATACTAGCTAGGCACTTGATCTCAATAAAAAGTACTTAGGGTCTAGGTCAAGCTTCAATGTAAATTTTTTTTTTTCATTTTGTGCAGTTGTTATATATTTATTTATTTTTCTAACAAAAAATCCTAAATTAAATTTAATGAAGAAAACCCCTCCTCGATATCGTTGTATCTTCGGAGGTATCGAAAATTAACAACATATTTAACTCTACTTTAATAATGTCCTCTGTAATAGGACAGTACACATTTTCCAATTGACAATGCGAAATATGTTTATAAAAATTCCATTGAAAAGCACAATTTCAAATGGGCATTTATTTAAGAGTTTATACCGGTAAAAAAATTGTACGAAACATTTATTTGAGTTGCGGATTCATCAACGAGAGCACAATTCTTTGTGAAAGTCAACGAATATAACTAACATGAATATACGAGATGACAATGCGGATAACAATCATATAGTTTTAATAATGCAATACACAACGATTATTGTAATGAATTATGATGATTGTTTAACCTTCACGTCGGTTTTTCGTTTCAACACGGATCGTATTATTCGAAGTATTATGAATAAACATACATTTTGAGATGAATTAATTTTCCTTTACAAGTAATTTAACGATTTTCCAAAAATTCGAGTGAACAAAAAGTTTAAAAATAGTTTTATTTTTTCCTTTGTGTTTAAAAACAATAAATTATTTAACAACACGTGGATTCAAAATGTTTAATTATTTCAAAATATAACTAAAATCAATTGAATGAACGAAAACTTACACCATCGTCCATTCATGAACATTCATAAAGTCAATAAAATAATAACCAATACTTGTATTCCCTTATCTGCCTACTTTTGCTTCTCAGAAATACACAGCATCGAAAAGCAGATGAACAGTAAGAACTACTTAAACTTATAAAAATGTGTATAAATACATACATATTAAGTACATACACGCAAAATATTCATAAACCGCGATTTAAAGTAACGATAAAAAAATAGTAAACATTCAATGTGTGAAGGTCATTTCTGAACCAATGAACATAGACATTGTAACACAGCACACATTACAATGTGAAACACGTATAAACACACAACTGGTTTAATAATTTATAGAGTAACATCGACGAGCCTTCGAATTCCAAAGATTGTAAGTAATGTAAGTTTTAATAGTTTATAATCAAGTCTTAGTTTTCAACGATATTTAAATTTAATTTAAACATTCATGAATTTATTTAATACGTAATATTAATAAAAAATGTATTACGAATAAATATAATTTACCTACCGATCAGCTATCGAGTAATTATTAACTAATAACTACAAGTACCTATATTAAGTATATTACGACGTGTAATTATATAAATATACAACGATTTTACCGGTTTATTTTTTACAACATATAGAATTCAAATAATTGATATTTCTGTTACGTACAACATCGTACTAGTTTTCCTATTTTAATTTCGTTTCTACGTTAAAATCCTATCAAAGAACCATTACACAGCTATCATCCATACCTGTGTGTATGTAAACAATTAATGTGACACAACCAACGTATGCATAAAGTACACGTACATCTACAAAATTTACAGTATGACCAATAAGTTAGACTTACGGTTTTTTTTTTGTTTCTAAATAATTTGTAAAGGGGCAATTTATTGGTGATTTATTTACCCTGATGTACACTATTTTGTAAGTGAGTTTTCAAACAAACACGTTAATATATGCACGGACGCATTAGCGCAAAAATGTTTTCTTATAAAATTTGTTGTTTCAAAAACAACATCTGAATCCTAGCCTGAACGAAAACATTTGTAAGACACAATAATCAATGTACACATTACGTTTAAATAAAATCCAAAGATTGTTATTTCATAATAACCATTATAGGTTATCGTGGGCAAAATACGGTCGAAAAATAAGTCGTCTCTAAGTGGAAATTCGTCTGTTTAGCAGTTGATAAAAAATACACGTTAATAAACACGATATGATAATTTAAATAACTCGTAGATCGAATGACTATTTAAAGCGTATCTTATTTAATTCTATTCCATAAGCCGCGCGCGAGTCTTTTGACAAAACACATAAATACAAATACAAAACATAATATTTACATGTAATGCATTATGGTTGTTTTACGCTAACGATTTTGCAATCCGCTACACGACTACTAATATTAGTAATATTATTATCTACAACGGACACGCGGGAAAAACAAATTCACATGCGCACGGAGAACGACGATCAATTCGACTATTAAGTAATCGCAATACATACGGCGAAATTACTGACACGATGATGATGATACACGGTGAATGGGAAAAAAACGAATAATCACAATGTTTACAGAGCACGTGGAATAACGTGAAATTATGGTAAAAGGGGAACACATTTTATCTGTATCATGCAAAAGATAATATATGTGTTATCGTTTCCATTCGTGTGACGAGCTACGGGAACAGTCGGCGGTAGCGGCGGGCGGCGGTCCGTTTGACTGACATCCATATGGTCGCACATGTTGAACCGTCATCGTGGCTGACGAGTGCCGCCGCCGCCGTCGTAGTAATAGTAGTAGTAGTAGTAGTAGTAGTAGTAGTAGTAGTAATAGTAATAGTAAAAGTAGTGGTAGGTAGGCCACCGCCGCCGCTTAAAATTCGGTTCGATAAGCGGGCGTGCAAGCGACTGACATCGCCGCCGGAGAGTGAAAACAGAGTCCGTTGCATAACACGAAATAGCCGCGCGATAACCTCGTCACGCGTCACTCCTTTCCATCGCACTCACTCTCGTACAAACAAATACACGCGCACACACACACGCACAAAGCGTGCACGTCTAACAACGCAAGGAAAAGCTACAGCCGTCTCGTATGGCTGTAATACCGAGAGACAACTGCCTACGAGATGATGGCAATGGTAGTAATAGTAGAAAAAGATAATAATAAACGAGCGATTGTAGAAAGGACTCACCTTGGCCACTTGGAAGTTTTCTGGACGCAACGTCTCCACGATCTCCTGGTCGGGTTTGATCTGCGGCGCCACCGAAGACCGTATGCCGTCCAGAACGCCTTTGAACGTGAACTTCTTCATTTCGCTTTTTTTTCTCGCGCGCCGTTTCACAGCAACAACGACGACGAAGAAGTCGACGACGACGAAAACAATAATGACGCACACCGCCTCGCGTTCACCACACGATCATAATAATTATGATAACAATATGATATTATGTGTTCGACGGGACACAGCGGTTCCCGGACCAGCCGTCGTCACACACTCACGGCTAACGGAAATCGTGCGCGTTCAGTTGGTCATTTTCCGGTAACCCGCGTGAAATGACGATTAGGAAAGAAGATTGAGAAGGAAATGGGAAAAAATGCACACGCGCGTCGGACGGCGACAGGCGCACGTTACGATTCGAACGGACGCGGTGGCGGGAAGAAAATCGCACAGGCAGCGACGCGTGTGCACAGCGCAACGGCGGTGCCGTGTTTACGCGTACGCGCCAATAACGGTTGATATCCGTCCGCGCGACACCACGCACGACCGGAACAGGGTTTTATCTCGTTATCTCGGCGCGGCGGCGTAAATATAACGTGTCGCGCGCGTACGATGACGGAGTACGACGACGACG